TATATATATTTCTTTATAAGCATTCACAAATACAAAAGCATCTTAAGTCTCGAAAATTCAAGGATGTGTAAATTTTAAGAAACATTTTGGGAAATTAAAATCCTACACAATAGAAAAATTTTAAAATTTATAAAAACCTGGGTCTCTTTTACACGAGTTCAACAGATACACGAGGACTACGAGAACTTGAACTGCAGAGCTTTCAAGGTGTCTTTATTCGCTCCATCGTTGGCGATTCCGCAACACGAAAGACCGTTAAGAGAAACAAAATGCGAAAGAGATACGAAAAGCGAGAGAAAGACAGACAGAGTTGTTATCCAGATATCGCGGCAGAGGGAGAGAGGGAGAGAGAAAGAGAGAGAAAGAGAGAGAGAGAGAGAGAGAAATAAACAGGACGCTCGAGTAAATAGACACAATCGTACAGAGAGAAAGAGAGAGAGAGAGAGAGAACGAGATAATGCGAATGTTATGCGAGCGTCAGAAGGAGAGAGAACTATAAAAAGAACGATGTGTTATAGCGTGATAAAAGAGGATACACAGAAGGCTACATCACAGCACACTTGGGAGAGAAGTGCGGCGGCGCGAGATATCTACCTGTCAGCGTGCATTCCACGATCCCACGATGTGTTGACGGCGCCCCGCGTATACTCCGCGTTTCTCGCCCGTCGTCGACGTACTTTTTTCGTGTCACGAGCGCAGTCGTCCGTTACCACGTCGCCGTTTCACCATGTATATATACACTTGTCCACTTCTCTTTGTCGCGAATCGTTCCGCAGCAACGTCAAGCCGGTGACGTGCCGCGACGCGCGAACATGGCGCACTAACTGTCGATCCACAGGTACACGATCGAAGCAACGATACATACGTAACTACGTACAGCGAGTGAAGAAATGTGGCGCGAAATGTTCTCGTCGTATCGACAGATCGTCGGTTCTTTCGCGAATCCGCGGATTCGTTTCGTTTCGTTTCGTCGACGATAAATGATCCGCCGCACACACAGGATCGAAACGGCGTCGATCGACGATTCGACTTGACGCCAGCGCGGTGTAAATACTACAAGCGAGGAAACGCGCTACTTTCGTCCACGATGCGCGGCGGCCACGCCGGCCAATCCCCACCCGCACACACGACACGTGAGGGGTCACGACCAATCAGGCGACGCGATGCGCGCGCAGCCGCGGTAGCGCTCGTAAAGCCATCTATCGGTTCGATCGTAGCTGGAGATCAATTTCACGCGATATCGATTGCGTTTGAAAGTAAATCTTTTAGCCTTGTAATCGCGGTAATTTTAAATTGATATCTCGAGAGTATTTATAGCCATTTTTCCGCAACACCTCGATAAATTCCAATTAAAATACACGCCGAGCTATGCGATTTGAATCACTAACAAATTTTTATATATCAAATAAAGTATATTAATCTTATTAAGATGTAATTAATTATAATTCATTATATCATTATTTACTTGAGTTTGTACACAATACATATGCATTTCCTTCTAATTTCACAAATAATTAGAGTAATAATTTAAAAATAATCGAGTTCATACACAATACTATGATAGCGTATCGCGAGCATTCTAAAGAAAGACGATACATCCGATCGATCAATATAGCTACGATAATTATGAAAAAAGGCGCATAGAGAGAACTTGATCGTATGGCCATGAGATTGACGTTCGTGTTCGGTGTCGGTGACCTAACTTGAGGAAAGAAACTAAATCGGGGCCCATTACATATTCGTGCCATTCACCCGGATCCGGTCGAGCCGAATTTCAAGATCATCGGATTTATCAATCATCGAGTACTCTTAACGTCTTCATATTTTCTATCCTCCGACTTTGAGTAAATAAACAAATGTATCGCGCGCGTTTTTCTGCAAATAATTCGAATGAGATATTTATAGAAAAAGCTTTATCACACACACACACACACACACACACACATAACGTATCGCGCGTACACGATCATTAAAAAATCTCATTTATTGCAAAACATACCGCGCATTTTTTCTTCGAATCCGGAAATTCTCAGATAAGCAACAAAATCAGAAAACTCGCGCCGAGTATCTTTGCAAAGAATACTTCTCGACATTGGTCGCTGCCTTGGGGAGCGACATTTCTCACCTCGGTCTCTGAAAGTTTTTTTTTTTACAATATAAAATTTACAAAAATATTGATAAAACTTGTCGAGATAAAAAAATTGGTAAAACTCTGTGAATACGGTTTTTTTTTTCGTGTTTGATTTAGCATGGCTAAATAGACTCTTGGATCTTTGGTTAATTTAATTTAAAAATATCATTTCTAAAAGAAAAGAAAAAAAAAATGAGAAAAGGACGAGAAAGGACGCTCTTTTCTCCTCGATGCTTCCTCACCGTATTCATAATATTGCGGCGATTCCGTCAACTCGTCCTCACATTCTTCGGTGGCTGATCTAATCCTTACGACTTCCTGTCTCTCGCGTTCACCGACCTTACCTCCAAACGGCACATAACCGGATCTCACCATGCGATTCCTAGACCCACTTCTGACGGCGGCTGCGACCTGGAAAACGCGGCAAGAGTTTTGTTCTTCAACACTAACCGTAATCGTAGATTACGCTGGGTTCCTCGTTCACCGGTTCTTCCTCGTTTTCGTCTTGCTTTTCGTTCACGTTTTCGTCGTCAATCTTATCCTCCTCGTCGCCCTCCTCCTCCTCCTCCTCCTCCTCTTCCTCCTCGTCTTCATCATCTTCGTCGTCTTTTACAGCCGAGCGATAAAATCTGTTCTCGTCCAGCTTATTTCGAAATTGATGGCGTTTTCGAACGACATTGTAGTCGTTGTTACGATACGCTTGCTTGATCCAGCGCGGATATTCTAAAAGATGACGTCGTGGTGATAGTACAAAACTTTCGTAAATTTTAGGTTCTACATATGAAGCATATCCATGAACATTTTCGGTAATTATGGTCGATGCGGACGATCTTGGAAAATCCCAATCGAGCGCATCGCCGGCAATACGAATACGTGATAGAACTAAAAATGTCAATAAGAGAACAAACATAAACATAGCCTGAGCCTGAGCTTTATCATTATCGATCGATAACGATGCGATTGAATATAAGCGCAATTAGATCTATCATACGCAATCGAATGCAATCGCGAGCCACTTGAAATAGCTTCATCAGGTATACTTAACACACAAATCAAAATCGATTATTATATAATTGCCTTTTAATTTATTTTATAAGTAAAATATATATTATCTCTAATCAATATATCAACACAATCATATATTCTCTCTAAAGAATATACATAACATGATATTATATAATACATTTATATATATATATATATTTTTTTTTTCTTTCTGTCTTCTTCTTATATAAAAAAATATAATACCATTTCCTACATTTTATTGACGAATATTTAATTGAACATGAAAACAAGTTTTGCATAATATAAAAAGAATAGCTATTTTGTATAAAAAATATAAACATAAGAATATATATATATATTCACAATATGTATAATCAATGCATCTCTAACATAGATTCTTACATCATTTGCTTTCAAATCTAAGCAGGGTTTCGTTCCAGGAACTTTTTTGTCACAATATCAGTGCGACATTGGTTTAAGTCTATGTAGTCTATGCTGGTGCATCCTACCACGGGACATCTGTAAACATAATACAAATACACTGTAATACACTAGTATACTTCGATATTTGGCATTATGTAAAAAGAAACACACCTGGTATTTTTATTTTTACGTAACATTGCGATAAGGCTTTCTTTATCATATACATGACCACAGACTGTATTTTTCACTGGATGGGTCATCCTTGTTTTAGAAATTGGATCAATCACGTTTATGTCTTGACCTGTCAATCGCAAATCTTCGTCTGTGTCTTCTTCCAGTTCATTATTAGATGCATCTTCATTAGCTAAAAAATTTATATTATTCTCAAGAAAGGGGAATATTTCAAAAATAAACTTTAGATCAGAATTTCTACTTTAGCAATTACCTTGAAGCAATATTTCAATCTGCCGATCATACTCCAATAATCTGTTATATTTTGATGAATCAACTTGGATGTTAGATACAGCCTCCTTATATTCCTGTTACAAACACAGTAAATACTGTAAAATCTTATAAAGCTGAAAATTCTCTTCAAGTTAAGATTATCTTACTTTTATAATATCTTCGACATTTCTGGATTCTGGATCAAAAGTGAGTTCTAGTTGCTTTTTGATCTCATTTGCAGCCACTATTCTTGCAGATCCACTACAATTTTCTTTTAAGACATCTCTTAATTCTTCCAATATTTTCTTTCTCTCTTCTTTATCAGCTGAAAAAATATTTTTTTTTTTAATGCTTGTGAGATAGACACTATATATATTGATTTTTACTATTGCATCTTCTGCATTTGGAAAGGGATGCGCAAATATAAAAGAAAAATATGTAAATATGCAGATACTGCACTTGGAAAAAAAATTTGTATTCCTGATAAAATGTATTTCTAACCTCGCTAGAATCTTACCGTAGTGTTTCATAATATTATCCGCTGTTTTCACGAAACAATCATCAAGAGTTTCTATCATCTGTGTAGACTGTGTCATTTTGTATAATATACACTAATTATTCAAAATATATTAATGCCAGTTGTCAAATTTCTCTTCAGTAGCCAGTTACTAAACAAATTGGCGCCATTTAATAAACAACCTTAAGGTGCCTTTACATGGCAGCGTCAAGCGTCGAGCGTCTGCGTAGAAAATTGCGCAGAATCTAATTTCAGCCTAGAATCTATCTCTTTTAAATTCTGCGCATTTTTCTGCGCAGACGCTCGACGCTTAATGCTGCCATGTAAAGGCACCTTTAGGCCTTAGCTGACGAGAATTTTTCGGCTGCATTCCGTTTCATGCATGATGCGCAATGCGCATGATGCATTACTTATCCTTGTTTAACATTCGGTGAACAACAAAGATAAGTAATGCATCATGCGCATCGTGCATGAAACGGAACGCAACCTTAACAAAACAATGACGCAAAAGAAATTTATTTTATTAACCATATCCATCAATTTATATAATTTATGTATAAATTTTTTATTATAAGCTATATTTTTTATACATATCGCATGAAATTCATATTTTATTTGTCATAAACTGTCATAAACGCACAATGTATATACAGAGAAAAATCAACCAATCATTCGTCTAGTATAAAGGAGATGATAACATTAGACACTTAATTGATTAATTTTTTTATGCATATGCATTATGCGTTTATGCAAATTTTCGTCTCGATAGAGAGCTTAATTATTTCCAAAATATAAAAATTGAAAACACAAAAACTTTCTTCCGAGTTGCGGATCTTAAGAACATTTTTGTCGATGACGCAATAGAAAAATGCGCGCGAATAAAATGAAGTGAATGTTAACAACTCGAGTTTGAATTGAAGGTGGACTACTAGAAGGTGAAAGTGGTTAGCCTTTGCCTTTCGTTTTTTATTAGCATACAAACTATAATCGTATCAGAGCAAGTGTGTCCGTCATGAGAAACATCACGGTTTTCTTCGCGCTCTTGGTAAGCTCTCTTCCACCCTTTGTTCCAATCCTTTGGTTTTTTAAACTTCAAAAAATATGTACGATAAACAACAGACAATGGAAATTAGATGTTTACGTTCTCGATCAAAAATCATTTTACACGAAAAAAGTCGGTATAATATAATATTGTATGATGTATATATCTGTATGATGTATGTAGCTCTATCTTATAATCTCATAATCATTTCCACAAGATATTTATAATGCATTATAGCTTTATACAATTTTATCTTGATATTAACAACGAATTATTTAAGTGTTACACTCGTAATTAAATATTTGTGATTTGATATTATATTTTTAATTGATTTGAATTATCTGTATTTCCATTGACCAATAGCGTAGCTCAAATTCATCTCACGTGGTTAGAAGTTTTCCTTCTCTCTGCCCATCACGATAATATATATTTTTTACCTTGTTTTATCTGCTATTTACCACTTGTTGCATAAGTCAAATCATATGACCACGTTTACTTCGTCCGCTCGATTGGTTTCGGTTTTAATCTATGTATTCCCTCAAATGTATTTACTTCGTCTCGGTTTCTATCCACGGAGATTCAGCGAAAAATTGAGTATGTATTCATCATAATTTGTCATGATTCCGACTCGTTCTTGCCGACATATATTATCCGATATTAGTGTCATGTTTTTGATAATTAAATTATTAATAAATAGTCAACTAATGAAGCAAATTTAGTTAAAAATAGCGGTAGTTTATCTCTATGAAAATTGAGTTTCCCGCCATAACGATATTACGGATTACATAAATTCTTATCATTATATATATACTTGACTGTATTACATATATATTTGATTGTATATAATTGGTTTGTATTTTTATACAAGCGTATTGTGATCATGACGATGTTATCGCAAAAATTAACACACACCAGTTTAATATGTGCTTAATTTTGTAAATAAAAGGTAATTTCACATTTTGTGCTTGTTGATAATATCTGTATCACAATTAAACTTTAAACTGTTGTATACAGTTATGATGTATCTTAACATGGAGCAACTTATTATTAATCGACTTTGGTTATCTGTATGTCTAGATGCTAGCTGGAGTTTGTTTCCTAACAATAGCAAGTAAGATTGCTTCATTTAATACAGCAAGAAATATCAGAAGCATTACTGGAATGTCAAAATTTGATCTTCCCAATCGTCTAAAGGGCAATGAGAAATCTGTCTGGTAAATAGTGATATTACTTTAACAATTTTTTTTTTATAATAAATAAAAATATATGAAAACTTATTATCATATTGCTTACATTTTTGGTTAGGGTGGAATACATCCAGCTTGCTCTGCAGTATAAGCCGCTGAATTTGGGCCAGGGATTTCCCGACTATCATGCACCAGAGAATGTAACTAATGCTTTGGCTGCCATTGCCAAAAGTGACAATCCACTTTTGCAACAGTATACTAGAGGATTTGTAAGTATCTGTTCATTAATTTTTAATTTAATTTATATATTTGTTTATAAATTACAAATATAATATTACCCAGATAATTATTATCAATAAACAATAATTAGCAATGATAATAAAATTATCTTAATCTGTTCTTATCTATATCTATCATATAAGAAATTTATACTTTATTGAGACAAGCATAAATATATTGCAGGGTCATCCAAGATTAGTGAATGCAATTGCAAAATTTTATTCCAAGCTCATTGATCATGACTTGGACCCAAACAAAGAAGTCTTGGTCACTGCTGGTGCTTACGAAGCATTATATGCCACTCTACAAGGTCACACCAATCCTGGAGATGAGTGGATCATTATTGAGCCCTTTTTTGACTGTTATGTACCTATGGTACAGAGTGCTGGGGGAATTCCCAGATATATAGCATTAAAACCGGTAAAGACTTTGAATAATGCAAGCCAAAATTTTCATACATACTAAATATATATATATATATAATTTAATATTATTTGCATCTCTGTTTTACAGAAATCTACATCGGGTACGGTCACTTCTGGTGATTGGGTATTTGATAGGAAAGAGTTGGAAAGTCTTTTCAACAATAAAACTAAAGGCATTATCATCAACACTCCGCATAATCCAATAGGAAAGGTGTTTACGTTGGACGAACTGCAGTTTATTGCTAACCTTGCAAAAAAATGGAATATTCTAGTGGTTTCTGATGAGGTTTATGAGCATATTGTTTATGAACCATACGAGCACATAAGAATCGGTAAGAATTATGCTATATAATACGAATATAAAATTTTGAATGCTATTTAAAAAATTATTTTTTATTTTGATCAGCAACATTGCCCGATATGTATGAACGCACAATCACGATTGGATCGGCGGGCAAAACGTTCAGCGTTACAGGCTGGAAAATAGGTTGGGCCTATGGACCAGCAAGTTTGTTGTATAATCTACAAGTGATACATCAGAATTCTGTGTACACCTGTAGCACGCCGATTCAGGTAATTTCTTTAAAACAGAAATAATATTTCCTAATTGAATAGTTTAATCATATTCTTTAATAGAAAATTAAATTAATTATCTTTATTTTCATTGAAGGAAGCGGTAGCTATTGGATTCGAATTGGAAATGGAACGCTATGGGCAATCGGAATGCTACTTTCATAGTCTGGCAAAGGAGCTGTTACCGAAACGCGATTACATGGCGAAATTCCTTCGGGAAGTCGGTATGGTGCCGACGATACCCGAGGGCGGATATTTTATGCTCGCCAATTGGTCTACTTTGGAGAATAAAGTAGATCTGCACGAGGAAACAGACAAGAACAAGGACTACAGATTTACCAAATGGATGACAAAGAATGTTGGTCTTCAAGGTATTCCTCCCTCGGCGTTTTATGGTCCTGAACACAAACATCTGGCAGAGGACTATGTGCGATACTGCTTCATAAAGGTAAGCCATGCTATCGTAAAGATGAGTGCTATAATTTTAATTAAGGCGACAGATTTTCACATGTTTGTTAAATATCAATCGTTTCGTTTTAACAGAAGGACGAAAATTTGAAGGCTGCTGCCGATATCTTGAAGAAATGGGTGTCTAAATAATCGAAACTATATTTATACACACACACACATACATACGATATATGTGTCTATATGTGTGCATGTTTGTATATTCACCACTTATACTTGTCTTGTATTTCGCATTGATTTAATATTTTGTACATTGTTTTATATGGGTAATTTATTGGAAGTAATTAAAAAAATGTCATAGTCGAGATTTTTATTCCTTGTGAAAGCATTATAATTAATAACAATACTCTTTTATCTTTGTTATTTGTATATAGTATAAATATACTTACAAAATGTTAAATTTATATGCACATAAGTATAAGTTTCGTAAATTTTTTTTATATGATATACTCTCATATGATTTATATGTGATTCAATGATGCATTTTATAATCATTGGACAATGACGAATAATATCGTTGCGAAGTCAATTATAAGGCGGAGTCTCCTTGAAGCCATTTTTTGGCATCTATCGTGTCAGCTCCAAATGTTTTCCCATATCTACGAAATAAAGATATTGTTGAAAAAAAAAAAAAAAAATGTCTGATATTATTGATTGATTAAGATCCTCGAATCCTTGAGAGTCCTTCCTCTTCAGACTCTTACTAGAATCCTTTGATCATTGCATCGTTTGATCCTGATTTTTCGAATATTTCGACATCTTAATTAATATATCCTCGGATCCTTCAATCCTCGTATTTATATCATATAATACAATTAATTAATTAAACTTGCCTGAACACCGCTCCGGGAATATGCCCGAGATAATTCGGTATCATTCCCACGTGTTTATGGTAAATCTCGGAAGGCTGGATAAGTAACGGGGGATCAGGACAAGCAACAGTCACCGGCTCGTATTCCATACTCTGTCCCTTTCGACAACTTGTAAAATCGTACAATAGATTGTCAGACGACGGGACAATCGATTTTCCGAAATATTCATTGTCGTGAGAAATGTGAGTCGCGTATCCTTTACGGAATAAAGTCGTGATAACTATTTTTTATATATATATCAAATATTTTCTGAATTGTTTTTAAATCATGTTTTGTGCAAAATTAAATAAAGTACAAATTTAGGTATTATGTAAGTTTACATAGAATAGAGTTTATGTAAAATTTTTACAAATATATATATGTATAGATAATATAACATTATTTAAATTTAAAATTATTTCGCACAATAAAGAGATATAGTAAGATCATAATTATTCCGGATAGTTAATCACTAATGCGATTTCACAATCAATTGCTTACTTCTCGCATTTTCGCGGATAAAGGAATACCACGTGCCATTTTTGCTATGCGAAATTTTCATTTTAATCGATTATTGATGATTATGCAATGCCGTATTATTTTATGAGAAATCGGAAAAATAAAAAGAATTGATAACCTGTAAATACTCGATTTGACACACATTTAATGACGGAAGAAATTTATAATAATTTACAAAAACATTTGAAATAACGCTCTTTATGTTTATGGTTGCGTTCCTGCTGTTGCGTTTTGCAAATCATAAATTTGAAGGATCAGCATTATGCACGCCTCGCAGATCGAACTTGAACATGAGCTATGCATTATCAAAAGCGGTAACGACTTGCTGCGAACATTTTCGCTTTCGAAGACAACGATAGCATCTTATTATGATGAAAGAAATAACCAAAAGTCTCTTCATGCTACTATACCTTATTTGTTTATGAATCATATAGTTTTTCAAGCTCGACAAATCAAACCGATAATCTTTAAAAAAATTTCTTTTTTAAAGAAGAAAGAAATTTATAATTCCTAATTCTTCTAATTATAAGAATAATTATAATGCAAGAAAAAGCTATACTGAAAAAATCATATATGCAGAAGAAAAGGAAAAAAGCTAATGATAACAATATTACTGTTTTTCTCATTCCTTCTTATTATATCTTTGAAGAACCAATCAAAATAAAACTTCAAAAGATGCAGAGAACAATATTCATGGTAAATTTAAATCAAACTCTTCAATCAGTAACATCATTGTATCTTCAAGAGGTAACAACACAAAATTTGGAATAAATATATATTTAGATATTTACCAATCCCTGTGTTTAATGCGAGATCATATAATAAAATTAAAGTATATCCAGGGATATTTCGATCTCTCGTTTATTTTCTGCCTAATCGATATTATTATCCATAGTATCATGTCTGATTTAATCGAAAAAAAGATATTTCTATATCAAAATAAAAATCGACATAATTATACCATAATATTCACAAAGTTAGTTCAAAATAAAAAATAATTATTTTTAAAATTAATAAATACATAATTAATATTAATAAAAATTAGTCAATTTATCATTTGTTATTTTTCTAGTAAAATAAAATAACTATATAGAGTATTTTGTATTTCTAAAGAGAAATCTTTTGCAATAAATTCTCAATTTTATGCACCAAGAAATATCTCAAATTTATAATATTTGAGATACATATTTATATTCTTTTTATTCAACATATTGATAACAATATTACTGTTTTTCTCATTCCTTCTTATTATATCTTTGAAGAACCAATCAAAATAAAACTTCAAAAGATGCAGAGAACAATATTCATGGTAAATTTAAATCAAACTCTTCAATCAGTAACATCATTGTATCTTCAAGAGGTAACAACACAAAATTTGGAATAAATATATATTTAGATATTTACCAATCCCTGTGTTTAATGCGAGATCATATAATAAAATTAAAGTATATCCAGGGATATTTCGATCTCTCGTTTATTTTCTGCCTAATCGATATTATTATCCATAGTATCATGTCTGATTTAATCGAAAAAAAGATATTTCTATATCAAAATAAAAATCGACATAATTATACATTTTTAAAATTAATAAATACATAATTAATATTAATAAAAATTAGTCAATTTATCATTTGTTATTTTTCTAGTAAAATAAAATAACTATATAGAGTATTTTGTATTTCTAAAGAGAAATCTTTTGCAATAAATTCTCAATTTTATGCACCAAGAAATATCTCAAATTTATAATATTTGAGATACATATTTATATTCTTTTTATTCAACATATATATTTTTACATTACTTTAAAAATATTTTTTTCTTCTTGAAAGATTTTGTATTCCATGAACTTTTAATGAACAACTATTTTTACAATTTTCATAATGCATACAATAATTAATATTGTATAATAACTCACATAATTAATTTTTTATTTAGCATCAGTTTTACTTTATTGCCAAATTTATTACAATTTTCTTTTAATAATCTTCATCTTTTAATGTAATGAACAAATTTAGAATTTATGAAATCTTTGATTGCAAGTATTATGAATCATATTCTCATCAATAAACAATATAGTTTTAAAATACATTTCTGTTTATAAGTCTTATTTATATAAATATAAAACATATAGAATCTCTTTAAAATAAAATCTGTTGTACTATTACACTTACTTTATATTATTATATAGTTTTTACAGATGTATCAGTGGTATTTATATTTGATCCTTGTTAAAATTCTTCTTGAATCACGTAAACATTCCTAAATGACAACATAAAGTATTGTATATAAATCTATTTTCAAATATTATAATTATCAAGTATTATAATTAATAAATTATCAAGTATCAATTTTATATTTTTCTTTAAATCTTTAGCTATAAATCTATAAAAGTCAAAATAGCTTGTCAAACTGCTTGTTATATATATCCTGCAGTGAATAATCTAATTATTATCAATAATAAGATATTACCGTAATTGTAAGCATCCAATCTTTTACTGTATCTACATTTCCTCTCTATTTTTTTCTGGGAGAAAGTGTTGAATATGAAACTCTAGTCCAGAAGTATCCACGTGATAAAATTAAATCAAATAAGAATTTATGTTATCATATGTTATTATCATGAGACATTCCATGCTCTCCAACTACAAATATAATACAAAACAATGTCAACAGTATTCAAATATGTTTGAAGAAATAAAAAATAAGATGAAAAAATGTGATAAGAATGTATTCTTTTGTTAGATCTGATTATTAAAATGAAAGTAAAGCATGGATAAAAAGATTCGCTTTCATTTACATACGTGTATGAACATCGAAATAAACAGGTTAGAAATTAGCTCGGTCTATTTATCAAGCATCCTTGAACTTTGTTGTTGCGAACAAAACATTCAGATTCTCATACGGTTCAGTGAGCACGATCTTCGCAAATCATGACTTTCGAGCTGTTTCTTGTTAGAAATATTTGCGACAACTGTGACAAGGGAGATGTTACATTCTTCATATCGTGATACATATTAAAGACAATTGGAGATAGTTGAAAGTTTCGTTAAAAATTCGAATGCGTATGATCGTAATAAACGTTCATTTTCACACTAGTTTGAAGAAAAAAATATTAATTATGGATACCTCGTATTACGTCTATTTGCATAAAGACTTTAAACGATTTTAATTCCCGCGCCAAATGTTCGAGAACTGCTCGGTGATTTTCGGTAGATTTCGTGCGACTTCTTTAACTTGATTGGCTAATTTTTAAAATTTCGATATATCCACTAATGAGACAGCTCGGTATATTCGCGAATTACTACTTTAAAGCTTGACCAATCAGAACAAGGAATACCGGCGCTAATTTCAAGACGTTACGTCCGGCTTCTTCCTCTTTTCCCGCGGAAACGGCGCTTGGTACAGACGTAGAAATTGCGAGTTTCGACAATATCCGCACAGGTAAGCCGACAAATAGATAATCGAACCAAATAGATACGATTATACGCAATAGAATTGTTTTCTTGAATAGACTGTGAGAATATTTAATAGTTTTATGGCATATTAGACGGGAATTATAAGAATAAAAAGTCAAGCGTCTTTTCGGTTAAGATAATCGGCCATTATGGATATACTTTTATTCTATCCGTTTTTCGAGTATTTGTTTAGAGACGAGTCTATTCTTCTATATGTATTTATAATCAAATTTGCATTATGTCTAGTATTATCCTTATCGAAAGCTCGCTTAAGAATTAATCGCAGAGTATCCTATTAGGTTAACGGCGCGGTGCGGCGTCGCATTAATTTTCGTTACGCGATCGCGAAAAATACCTCGTCGAACATGGTTAAGTATGTGTTGGTTAGTGAGTATCAACTTGCGCAATTATTTAATTTGATTAAGCGATTAAACGTATCGCGACAACGGTTTTTTGTCGAAGAAAATATTTTGCGCGCTACATTTATTTGAGTAAATAGGAATAGATAATAATTTATGGAAATCATTGTCTCTTATGATATACTTTCATATATTTACAATAATTTTCATGTATTAAAATCATATTTTAATCATTTTTGATTGTGTATTAATACAATGGGTAGCATCACCAGCCATTAAAATGTTGTGCAAAAGTACCGCTCATTAATTATATTCGGGTGTGATTAATGTGCGCGTAATTGTAATTAATTTGTTTTTTTTTCCAGAGAGTATCACAAAAGAGCGATAATGGTGAAATAAGAGAGGAGAAGGAGAAGGCCCGGAGCGGCATCAAGCGACGGCGGAATAACCATAAAGTGAATAATTTATTATTTTTTATGTGTATATTATTATTATTTGAAACAATTTAATAAAAGGAAAATTTTAATGCATGCTGTAATTACATTTTGAGATGTAATTTGGACACTTGTTTTAAATTAGATTAAATAGATAAATGTGTATATTTTACAGATTAACACTGTATATTACGCTGTATAACTCAAGAAAACATTTTGTAAGATTTAAACTAATTTATTTTATAAACATACTATTGATCATTAATTGCGTATGTGATTATAAATTCGTTAAATAATTATATAAACATTAATAATTTAATTTTATATATATATACATTTCATTCTAATTTATTGTAATCCAATTCATGTGGATTCATAACTTGGCTCTACATTGATTAGAGCGATATATTGTAAAATAATGTGTATGTGTCAAAAGATATTTTGCGGTTATATTATCGCGACTGAAAGGAAAGCAAAAAGAAGTCGTGATTTAAAATTTGTAGTAGAATTTGTGGCAATATGTTAGACTTTCTATATACGCGTCAAATTATAATTTATTTTTTATTTCTGAGATTGATCGATTACACTGTCACGTATTTCGGAGAAAATAGCACGACAAGCCGTATTAATTGTAAATAAGCTGCGGATTAACGACATACGAATATTGATAGAGCAAATATATGGAGTTCTCGCGTAACAAGAAACGTAAAAGATTTCTCTTCAATTAACTGTAATTTATTTTTATTAATATTCATTTTAATTAATATTTATCAAGGAGCTTTTTAAATAAGGGGGAACGAAAAAGATTAATACTAGAAAATTAATTACTAATGAAGCGTCACTGCTAATGAAGACGTCGTCGCCGAAGAAGATCTCGTCGTGGAAAAAGGCATCGACATCAGTGTCGGACACAGCATAATGACTCAATAAACTAGTTTGATAAACTATTCAACAGATTGATTCCGGCAATTAAAAAATCCAAGACACATTAGAATATCGTGCAAACCGTGCATTTAAATGCGGGTGCGTCGCGCAAACTGTCGCTTGTCAAATTTTAGGCGCTACTACAATTTATATTCTACTTGCATGTTACAGATCAACGTAGCTTCGATGCAGTCAACTCCGCTGCTGCGCATCGGGTGGTGAGTGATTTACATTTTATTACGAGGTAACGGTTTTGTAGTGAGTTGATTGTAGATTTGGATTTTAGATAGACTGTAGACTGTAGTTAGTTCCGTTACCTCAAAGTGGATGAATGGATTACAACAGATTAGATTAATATTTCACTTTAAAATAAATATGAAACATTTTATATTACTTTTATAATACGTAGATTTAAATTAATTTATTTTATAAACACACTAATGATCATTAATTGCTTGTGTGATTATAAATTTTTTAAATGATTATATAATCACTAATAATTTAATTTTATGTATATACATTTCAATCTAATTTTTTGTAATCCGATTCATGTGGATTGATAACTTGGCTCTACATTGATTAAAGCGATATATTGTAAAATAACGTCTATATGCTAAAAGATATTTTGCGGGTATTTTACCACGACTGAAAGAAAAGCTAAAAGTGGTAAAAGTGATTTAAAATTTGCAGATTAATTTATGGTAATACGTTAGATTTTCTATAGTGCGAATAATACTCGTCAGATTATAATTTGTTTTTTATTTTTGAGATTGACCTGTTAAACTGTCACGTATTTCGGCGAAAATAGCGCGACAAGTCACATTAATTCTAACAATAAGTTTGTTGCGAATTAACGACACACGAGGATTGATTGTGCGGAGATATTGAGTTCTCGCGTAACAAAAAGCGTATAAAATTTCTTTTCAATTAACTGTAATTCGTTAATATTAATATTCATTTTAATTAATATTTATCAAAGGGGTTTGTAAATAGGGAGGGAAGTAAAAATATTATAAATACTAGAAAGGTAATTACTAATGAAGCATGACTACAAATGAAGACGTCGTCGCCGATGAAGACGTCGTCGTGGGAGAAGGTATCGACATCCGTGTCTGGCACAGCATAATGAACTCGATAAACTGTGATAAACTATTGAACAGATTGATTCCGGCAATTCAAAAATCTAAGACACGTTAGAATATCGTGCAAACCGTGCGTTTATGTACGAGTGCGTCGTGCAAAGTGTCGCGTGTCAAAATACGGGAGTATCGTGCAAAGTGTCGCGCGTTTTAATGCGGGAGTGTCGTTCAAAGTATCGCGCGTGTGAATCAACGGACTCTGACAACGGACAATTTTGACTAACCTTAGAGTAGGAGGAGGTCGTGGAGAGGTATCGGGCGCCGGCAGTGCAACCCAGAGGTGAGCATTTATTATTTGTTTATTAGTTGCATTAAATCAGAAAATTATGATATTTATGAAATAAAAAACGAAATTATAAAATTATGTAACCAAACGACGTAGTAGCGTCGTGACGTCAAGTTTTATATTTTTTGTATGATGTGCGCGCGTATAAAAAAGAAATTCTTAATACATACAGTAATCACAATTGTTGGAAATATTAATTCTTTTAGGCACACTGCTATAAGTTAGATTTCATTTATATGTTGTAGATTAATGTAGAGAGAGCTAACGATCTAAACAACCTGAGAGAGGAGGAGGAGGCCTGGGATAGGCATCGGGCGCCAGCGGACCAATCCAAAGATGAGCATTTATTATTTATTAATTAATTGTTTAGAATTAAAATTTATAATATTATTTAAATACGTTTCTGTTTATTTTCGTACGTTTGGAATATAAAATGAAAAGATACAATTATAATTTTACAACAATTACATAATTATTGCGAGCGTCGTTATAATTTCGATTATTGATTATGTATTGTATTTGTTTGTTATAGAGCTATACGAAGCTTCGATGTAGTCAACTCCGCTGTTGCGTATCTGGTGGTGAATGATAAACTACATTTTATTAGGAGGTAATTGTTTTTTGAGATTAGATTGTAGAGATATATTATTATTATTGTAAATATATTATTAGATTCTCTTATATATGTATATATGATTAATTTTTGACACATATAACATAAATATTATCACAAATGTGTGATAATATTGTTGGTTATCAAGTAATATATATCATCAATTAAAGTATGAATATAAAGTGCAATTTTATAATTCATAATATTGTCATATCGACGAGAAAATTTTTCTTTTACTTTTTACTTCGATATTTAATTTAATATTTACTTTGATATTTTAAGCAATCACAGATCACTCTGTTTTGAAATTATTTAATCTAAAATTTTGCCAAAAGTTGTTTGTTTAAATCTCTAAATGGAAAACTATTCGTTTATTGTCTATTTGAGATACAAATTAAGAGCTCAATACAATACAATTTTTATATAAATAAAATTTTTTGAAGTCCTCCAGAATTCATAAACGTAAAAACTAGAGATTGAAAATAGGAGTAAAATTTTGACTTGGGACAATAACAGCATCAGATATATGCACAGAGACAATACATTATTCCGCGAGTACAAACATGTCCGATTCCTTTTACGAATTTATAGTATTCGCGATACGAACGGAGATCTGCTATCGGCTCATATTAAATTCTCTTCTATGTCGTTTGTTTGCCAAGAAAAAGTTGGATCCTGTAGACCGATTGCGTTCCGATATTCATCACTGCCAGTATTGAAAATCTATAGTTTACGTCACGTACACTATAGATTTTCAGTACAGGCAGTGAATATCGGAACGCAACCAATATCATAAAACTTTAAAGTGTTTAAAAACTGAAATATTTTCATTAATATTTAAAATTATTTTATCATTATATATATATA